TAAGAAAATGCTAGCTAAAATGTTGCTTGCTAAAACAGGCTAAATTAGCACAACGTCTGCAGAAGTATTTTATCTTGTAAAAACTAAAACGAACGTATGTAAAAATAAAAAGCCGTGAACCAAACGTGTGAGACCACCAGACCGCTCCGTGTCTCTGCTGCACGTTTGAGACTTGTTTGTTTGTTTGTTTGTTTGTTTTTGGGTCGCCTCAAAGTGTTCATGCCCCCCCCCCCCGTAGATTTTACTCCCTCCCCTCAAACATTTCAGCTTTAATTTACGAACCGAGACCCAAATCTAACGTATCCGAGTTATTTCTCTCGTTACGTTTCTTCTATTTCTCGTCGGCTTGTTGTTGTCGAGCCTGTAGGAGCTCCAGCTGCTGTTTCTGGTCTGAGTGATGTTCCTGCTCCTCCTGGTTCTGACTCGTCTCACCTTCAGATGATGACCGGAGCGTGGTGGGGCTCCTCCTCTCTGCAGATCAGTGACTCAAGTGTCCAACACGATGGTTCGTCTGAGCGTGGCCCTCAGAGGCGCCACATGGAGGAGAGGACGTCTCCTGAGAGGAGCTGCTCGTGATCCAACAGGCCGAGCTTTAGGTGCTTCAGCAGCTCCTTTAGCTTGTTGAAGATCTGCTGAGGGTCCTTCAGGATGTGGTCAGAACCAAAGGATGCCAACGGGTCAAAGGATGATCGCATGCATGAGCAGCCTCAGTGAGTTTCTCTAAAGGTTGCAGGGTTTCACTTGTGCGAGTCTCCGAGGCCGCCACTTCCTGTTTCTTAAATTCTGAACGTGTTCAAAATAAAATACGGCAACAAATTTATTTTCAAAATAATTGTTGAGACGTCCGGATCGTCTGAAACTCGTCTCAGCGCTGAAGATCGATAATGGTAATTAAAATACTGATCCACATCTGCCCGTCTTTATTTCTGTAGAGTACATCTGTAAAAATGGCCCGCTGGTGGCTCCGTCTGCAGCAGCACCTGAACCGCCCCGATGCATGCTGGGTGTTATTTAACCAGGTGTCGTCCGTCCTCGTGCTCTTCAGTTGTTTTCAGATGCAAGAAGAAAAGCAACAGTTTGTGCTGCTCTTTAAATGTTTCCTGCAGTTTGTTTTCATGCAGAGCAGAAGTTAAAGGAGTCTCGTTCCTTCTTCACTGGTCGGGTCACGGAGGAAACTGGTTCCGGAGCGGAGCCCCAGTCCCTCCAGAACTGCAGCCGAGGGTTTGATGAGCTGAGACTTTTAAATGTTGGTTCTGATGAACACCTCCGCTGTCGGGCGGCACACAGAGCTGTTGACGAGAGGCAGAACCTCGTGTGGACCCGCTCACACAGAACAAACCATTTCCTCTCAGCGGGGGAGCTGATTGTAAAATAAATAACTGATGATTCTGAGCCAGCAGGAACCAGACCTGGACCTCCTCCCGGGTCACGATGGCACCGTTGATGAACTCGTACCCGCTGCACTGTGACCAGAATAAATGGCAGCTGGGGGGAGCAGGTGGTTTATAAAGTCAGTGCTGCCGTTCAGAACCACAGCGGGTTGATTTTATTACAGGAGGAGACAGAACCCGGGAGTCTGGACCGACGTGAACGACCCAGAACGTCACGGGGAAATCATTTTATGACTAAAGAAGATACCGGAGATGAGATGAGATGAGGGCTCGCGCCCCATGAAAATCTTCGGCTCATTCAGCCGATAGCTGCTGAGACTTTTTGTTTTTGTAACTTTTACACTCTTGAAAATTTTTAACTTTATTTATGAATATTCCCCTCCGTAGAAACACACGAAGATCTTTTCACTTTTTTCCAAAAACGTTATTCGCTTTAAAATCTGTGACTGTTTGTCTGTTTATGCTACGCCTAGCTTCTAGCTAGCCTTTTACTACTTTTAGCTTGTATTTTATGCTCGTTTTTTTTACTTTTAGCTAGGCTTAAGGTACCTTTAACCAACACTTTGCTACATTTAGCTTTCAGCTACCCTTTTGCCACTTTTACCGTAGCCTTTTTTTGTTTCTTTCATGTTGGCATCCGATCCGCTGTTTTTTTGCATTATTTAGCTTTTAGCTGACCTTTTGATACTTTTTTTGATCCTCAGCTATTGCTACTCTGTGTTTTGCTACAGTAGGTTAAAGTTAGCGCTTAGCTGTTTTCATCAAGTAGCGTTTTGCTACATTTAGCTACAGTTCTGCTACTTGTAGATCGCCTTTTTAAATTAGTTTGTTTTTTTTAGCTTGGTGCTAACCTTTTGACACTTGTAGCTATTTTTCTAATTTTAGCTATCATTTTGATACTTTTAGCTACAGTTCTGCTACTTGTAGTTCGCCTTTT